ACCACGGCAGACACAGCAGCTGTGGCCACTGGAAGGCGCTGACTCGTTCGACGATGCTCGGCCCTGGTCTGTCGGGATTGTTCTTTATGGATTTGGGGCAGTGTTGAGTATTGCATCTCGATGATTCTCGTGTACCTTTTCTAAGAGCTACCGGTATGGCCTTGGGCCTTGACTCTGCACTCCTTCCGGCGACCCCGCACACAACTGGCAAATGATGAGGCCTCCGCCGCTGGTTCTCCCGGAAGCAGGCGAGCACATGCCGCCCAGCCCGCAGGATGGCTTGCTGTCGCATTTGCCCTGCAGCCGTCGCTGCCGCAGCCCGCTTAGACCGGCGCAGACTGGCATAGGCGCAGAAATGCCGCAGCACCTGTGAGAATGGAACGGCAACATACTGTATCAAAGACACGTTCTGCTCATAGCCAGATGATGCCGGCCTGGCACCGCAACCAGTCCAAGTGATGTTGACGAGCCTGGCTGTAGCCTCGGTTTTTGGGCTTTGGCCGCTGACCCTGAAGTTCTCGTGTTCCGTTTCTGCCAACATCCAACATCCACAGAATTCTGTCCGGACGCAAGCAGGGCGGCTGAAGGCAAGCCAGGCTCTCAAGAATCTGCGTGACAGGGCGTCTGCCTTGGACCCAAGGCACACCCAAGCACCGCAAGCCAAACTGAATGGGATGCGAGATGCTACTTCCACATCTTAAGCCCTAAGATCCGGGCTTTAAAAGCTATGAACTGCCGTGCCCGAGGCGCAAGACTCTTGCTCAGCGCTGCGGACTGATTTTGCCTCCAGAAGATCCAAGCCAAACAAACGCAACGCATTGTATCACAATGTGACCGATGAATTTCACACGATGCCCCAACCATGCAAAGCAAACGGGCACTTGCAGCACTCTTGAAAGAAACAGCCCATCCGCTTGCCTTCCCAACTCAAAAATCTAAGATTGCAAAGCGCAGCAAGTAACATGTAGCGACACAAGGCTTTTGCAACAGAAGCATGACAAAGGGTGTTTTTCTGGCGAGATCGTTTTTGTCGCTGGTTTTGCCGAGTGCGTAGCGGAGGGTTCCCGTTTTAAGAGGTAGGGTTCCAGGGGTTGGGGAGTTTCTTGTGGCATCGTGCAAAAGTGTTCGCAAAGCGTTCGAAAACGTTCGAAAGCGCCCCGCGGGGCGGCGCGAATCGTGTAGTTGCGGAAGCCCAACGTTTTGGCATGCTTTTGGTCATTGCATGCCTCAAAAGTGCAGACGGTCACGAGGATGAGGCCTCTCGGGGTTGTTGGAGGTGACTGTCGTATCTTTGTGACTGCGACGAGGATGACGTGACTGTCGTCACCTTTTGAGCTTGGTGTTGATTCCGACACTTTTAAGGCAGAGAAAAAAGGGGGCGTTGGGGGTTGGGCGCCACCCCCCCCCCACCCCCAGTTGCAAACCATACTTCTGATGCAAGTTCTCTTTCCCAGTTGCAAACGCTATACGCAATGCTCGCAGGACGGGTGGATTCCTATGCTTTTCAGGCAAGTTCCTTCTGGGCATGATGCTAAAACCTTCTGGGCATGATGTTAAAGACATGGGGGGGGGGGGGTTGGGGGGAGGGGCACAGCACCCCCCCCCCTCCCAGATGCAAACACCATGCTCGCACGACTCATTATTCCATTATCCTTTCTTTCTTTCCTTCTTTCTTTCGTCTCTGTTTCGGTCCTTCCTATCTGTCGTTCTTTCGTTTTTCTTTCTTTCAGTCCTCTCCGAGAAAGTAGAGGTCTTCACCCTCCATGACAAACATCCACGTGCCTCCGTGAAGCCCTGGCAGCTCCTCGTCTTTGTCAGAGCGAAGGCGTTAAGACTGCTAGGTACCAGTCGGGCTCAGGACGTTCGAGGCTGCAGGGAGAAGACCCCAAACCTTAACGAAATTTGCAGAGAGACCCCGAGCCTTAAAGAACTTTGCGGAGGGAGGGCAAGCAAACCTTCTCGGGTGGCTATGGGCATTTTTTCTCATGTTATTTGGTTTTTTTGTGTTTTTTTTGGAGGGGGGGTAGGCTTGTCAAGACAAACGGCTTGGGCTTGAGGGATCTCGCAGAATTCAAGGCCACAGACTTATAAGTAACTTGTCATAGCGCGATGGAGTCAGCCAGAACTCTTCAACTTTTCTCTGACAACCTCCCAAGCGCGGAGGTCTTCCTAAGGCCCCTCTTGACTGAAGAGCTGTCCTGACACGAAGCCAATCCACGCCTGTGGGTTCTGGACTTCGGGCTCTCGGGCTCGGGGCTTCAAGGCCTGCAAGGACTCGCAACTCGCAGCAACCCTCGAAGCCTCACTTCCCTTCACTAGGTTTTGGAGCTGTAGTAGGCTAGGGAGCACCACCTTCCCCCTAAACTAGGAATCTCGAGAAGCGACGTACTCCCCACCCCTGCCCGCAAAGCCTGCTGCAGCAAGCGCCGGCGGCGGCAGCGAACGGCTGACCGCCGGCGCTGCTCTTTTCGCTGCTCTGGGCAGAAGAGTCGGGGATTCGGAGTTTTTGGGGTCGGTAAATGCGTGTTGAATGGCGAAGCAGGGCAGAACGGCAGAACGTGCTTGGGATGCCTGGAAGGGTGAAAAAGCAAGCTGTGCTGCATGATTTCACAGAGGGCTTGCTTTGATGCGGGACTGGGCCCAAGCAGTTTTATGGAACCCTAAAGCCCTAAGCCTTCTAAGCCTTTTAAGCCTTTGGGTACGAGACACGCTTCTGGCTGTAGGCTGCCAGGGCCGCAAAAGCGCGGCGCCGCAGGGGCGAGCTGTGCCAACGCTGCAGCTGCCGGATCCTCCAGAGGGCATAGAGGCGTTGAGGCATTGAGCATTCTGCAGGAGAACCACATACAGCTGATACAGCTGCACATAGAACCACAGACCTTCCAAATCCGAGGCCTCAGGGTTTTGAAGGGTTGGAGTTTTGGACAGGGCAGCCAATCTTGTCAACGCACCTCCATTTCCAAGCATGCGGGGCTCCTGCAGCAATCTCGCCAGGCCTCGAAACGACGCTGCCGCCGCAGATCTCCAACCGCCGCAGAGCCTGGATAACGTCACTGGCGGTTCATGGCTGAGGGCACTTGGAAGTCTCACAACGTACAGCGTACAGAGCCCTCACCGTTCGAAACAGGCCAAACCCTAGAAAACATCCCAAGCCATGCAAACACCCTCACATACCCCCAGCCCTTCAAGCAATAAATACTCTGACTTCCAATGCGACACGACGAGACCATCCCCCCCCCCCCCCCCCAATCCAAGAACCAGAACCTGAAGCCTCAGCCCAACCCTGAACACCCTAAACCTTGTGCAAGGATGCCCCGAAACGCATTGGTATAAGAACCTTCCATAGACGCGGGTAGAGCTTGAAAGGGCTCCGAAGGAATCAATGAATCCTTGGCAAAAGAAGGTGCCCCCAAGGCACGTGGAGCCAGAAGGGGCCGATTCTTCAGGCGCTGGGCGGCATCCTCTCGTCGCCAGGAATGGGATTCTATCCAGGACTGGGCGTTAAGACTGTTAAGGTTCAAGAGCTTCGATCCTGGCTCAAAGTCCAAGGCTTACCGTGGGCGTTCAGGGTATCCGGAGGGGCCCAGGGTTTGCCAGCGGCATTCAGCCGCAATCCGGACAATGTCTAAACTTCCACCCTCTCCCCGCCACAAAGGAGAGCTCTGGAAACCCAAACACATCCATCAGAACCCCTAACTGCACGGAGCCCTGAACCCCTTCAAACGTACAAACTGTACATCCTCCAAGCGAATACCGTCCTTCCAGGCCACAAAGGCGACCTGCAGAGTGCGCAGCTCGCGCTCCAGGACCTGAGCCCACAACTTCTGCCGTGCCAGGCTTCGGGCTCAGGAGTTTTCGGGCTCGGAGCGGTAGACGATTTAGGACATCTGGTTTTGTTCTCCAAGCAGTGTGGCAACTTTACGGGGTTCCAACATACAAGGTCAGAGGGGTTAGATCGCGTGGCATGCCCGCTGCGGGTTGCTTTGGACTTTTGGGCTCACGAAACTCGAAACTGTCATCGCTTTTGGATGTCTGGGCTCGCGAGATGCAAAACTCTTCGCTTTTGCAGCGTCTGACTCATCACATCCGGCCTCCGCCTGTCGGATGCAAGTCGCCACCGACAAGCTCTCGGGCGGTTGCATGTTACAGCCGGTCTAAAAGTGCTCGGCTGTGACTTCCTAACTCATCTCATCCGGCATCCGGGCATCCCTCTGAGTTGGTGCGTGGAGAGATGCCGAAGTGCTCCACGTGAATTCTTGGGGTGCTTTATGGGTGCTTTGGGACTTCTCTTGAGGGATGGTCTGCGAGTGCCAGTGCAATGTTGCAGAGTGGTCTCGGTGCATTTTGGAGGTGCTCTTGCTTGTTCCCATGGTCTCTGACTGTTTGGGGTCGAAGCTGGCATGACTTGTTTGACTGGGGTGTTGGGTCTGGCCGGCCTTGAGAGAGGGGGGGGGGGAGTGCCCCGAAGTAAAGACAGCGTCTCTTGTAGCAAAAAAACATTCAAAAAACACACACACACACACACACACAAAAAAAAAAAAAAAAAAAACAATCGGCGACCGCTTCTGAAGGTCGTCCAGGGCACATTGGCCTGCACCACGACCGCGGCCAGCAGCGGCATGGTGTTGCGGCATGGAAGGGAGCTTGAGCTTTTGGGGCGAAGATGGGCGAAGCGTACGACTCTGGGATTAGGGCTTTGATCCGGTTGGGGCTTTCCAAGTTGGGCTGGCTGTTTTAGGGTTTTGCATGTAGGCCTTCGTGACAAGGGCGTTGTTTCGGCTGCGCCGTGTCCCCGCTCGACACGGCACAAGCCTAGTGTAAGCCGCCACTGCGGAAGGCAAAACGCTTCGGGTTGCTCGGGCTCCTGGGTTAAGGGTTCTTTTTGGCTTGGCAAGTTTGGTTCTATTTTTGAGCTTATGTTTAGAAGGGCTTCTTGTTACAGGGCCTAGCATGGCTCGCATACGGTCTAGGGCTTGATTTCCAGGGACCTGCAGCACCCGCGCCTGTGCTTTGGGTAGAAGGCGATAGCCACGCCCTGGCAGACTTCGGCTTAGAAAGAGAGCTAAAGAGAGCAAGAGCGGTTTGGCCTTTCGGCTTTCATGAAGCTGCAATCATCGGAAGGCCCTTGCGAACGCCCCGAGGCTAGAGCCAAGTCGAACGCCTTAAAACCCTGTTACCTCAAACACTCCGCATACTCAGCACACTCTGTACACTCCGTTTACTCTGCATACTTCACATATTCCTTCATGCCTCCTTTAACCGAAGCTAAGCCGGCCCATCGGTGCCTGACGCCCTTTGCCGGGGATGCGGAGACTGCCCGCGGTGAGGCGAGGGGATCCACCTGCCCCGAACAGGCTGTAGGGCCCTTCCCATGGCCTTGTGGTTCATTTTGGAGGTCTTTGCATGGAAAACCGAGATCTTGGGTTCTTCGGCCTGATTCACCAGGATAAGTTTAGGCGTTAGCCCTGACGGACCCCAAGCCTGAACTGGAAGCGACACTGGAGCGCTGCGGGTGGGCGTTAGCGACCTGAGCATGTGCGATCAAGCCAATCAAGCCCCAACATCCCGAAACGATTGCACTGTTTACTAACATCAAACCTCCAAACTTTGAGTGCCGGGCCGAGACAAGTAGTCAGCGGGATTCGCCTGGCGGGCACGTGCGACACTTCACAGGCATTACACGACTCTTGTGCTTCAAGCACGCTCTAGGTGGCCGCCAGTGCAGGAACCATCGTAGCCTCCAGATCCACGGCTGTGAGTTTCGGACATTGGCGACATGAAGTTTACCACATGCATCTGCCTGCCCGCTTCTGACCCACTTCGCTTCCGACCGGCCACGCGGAGGTGTAGCCTGACGTCATGCACGAAGTTTCCGCGCAGCAAATGCTGCAGCTTGGGAACTTGCTGGGCCCCGGGCTGGTGGGGAGCACGCCGAGCGCACGTAAGGGTGCGGCGGCGTTGCCTGAAGGTCGTAGCATCTCGCGGCATCTCGCAGAGAATTTTGTTAGAGAGAACTCTCGACTCCAAACATGATGCCGATGCCTTTAGGCTGCCTGAGGCACCGACCGACATCTCCGGTCTTGGAGCCATGGGAGCCATTGGAGCCATGGGAGCCATTGAAGCCACTGGAGCCATGTACACAGGGGCCGTCGGCGTCGGCGGCGTCGCCGTCGCAGCCAGCGGAGCCTGTTGAAGGCGAGGCCGAGGCGGCGTCGCCTTCAGGCTCATGGCCGGTGCCGGTAGATGCCGGGCAGACTGTAATCTGCCATCTCAAAAAAAAACACATCGGAAGAGCAATTGAGACTATGGGCTTCCCCTCTCCCTCTGCAACTGCTCTCAGTATGTGCCTGCCCAGGCAATGCTGTCGGCATTGCATATATGGCAGCATTGGAAGCCGGACTTCTGAGCTGGTGCGGAGGTGTCGCTCGCAGGCCCTGGCCCTGGCCCAAGAAGATAGATGAGGAACTTGTTGCTCCAAACCTTCGGCGCCAGCTTCTCAGAACGGCGGCGCCTCATGCGGCCGCGCCAGCGTGGACTGCTCGACGATCACGCGCGTCCTGCAAGTATGTGAGTTAGAAAGTGATACAAACGGCATTCGTGCCTATGCATGTTGAGTAATCATCGGAAAACACAAAGCTACTCTCCCACAGGTGTCCTTGCCGAGACTGGCGGTGTTGAGGCCTTGGCAGTTTGTGGTCGGAGGGCTACACGCGCAACAACCTACAGCAGTGCTTGAAGGCAGAAACTCTTATGTAGTCCCTGTCGGGATAAAGTTCGAGAAGCTTTCCAAATTGTACTGGTAACCCTTCTTGCATCAACGAAATCAAACTCAACCTCCTGAGCTGAGCACGGCTGAGCGGGGCATGGCAGCACGCGGTGATTCGACCACCCAACGCCTCATGGACCAGCGCCGAAGAAAGCTGAGGTGGAGGGCGCGAGCGCCACGAGCGTGCACGATTTCGGGGGTTCGATAACTCATGATGCCATCGCCCCGAGACCCACACCCCTCTGGAATATCCCGAACGGCCAAACCAAGCTCTCAAAACTCAAGATCTCTCAAGCCCCATTCGAAGTTGCCGGCCGCATGGCTAAAAAAACAAATCTGTCGGGGTTTTTGTGCATGACCTGAAACCTTGGCTCCCCAAACCCACTCTTCTGGGGTGGCGGCATGCCAGATGCCTGCAATGGCGCGGACATTGGCGGACTCACCTGCAGCCCGCACACTGCCCCAGAAGCCATATGGCAGCCTAGGGGTTCTAGGCAGTCATGTTTGTTTCACGGCTTGTTGTCCAGGTCAAGGGCAGGCAATGCAGCATTGCGTGGTGTCATGTGCTGTCCGCTATTAGGATCCCCGTCTTTCCGCTGGGACTACCAGAAGAAAGAGCTGAAAGACCAAGTCAACCGATTGTCACTAGAGTGGTTCGGTCCTTGACTACAGAAAGCCAACACGAAAACAAAACGATACAATGCAGCGCAATGTATGTACTACAACCATACAAAACAGACAAGCAACGATGTATACAGGCAACATGCAAGTGTACAGACATTGCATCCAAGCAAGTTCACACAAATTTTAGGTCGCAGCACACGCACACAACGTACATTCCACACATAAGACTTAGGGAGTTTTGGGGTTTAAGCCCACTGGCTCTGCGAGGCTTTCCAAAAATATGCCTCCGAAAGAGCAAGCAGCAAGCTCGCCTGGCTCGGAGCCTGGAGGTACTGCAGCGGCCTGCGGTGTGAGGCACACGTAGTCTGGAGTGTGTCCCTGTAGAGCTGCTCTTAGGCTTATGTTCATGTGATTTAGGATATCGGTGCAAAAGCTACAGAAGTAGAGAAGTCCTGACGCCTTAAGCTTGCCTTGCTTCAGGCCTTAGGCTTAGAGTTATTGGTTTTAGGATGTGGGTTTAAGACCCGGTTGAAACCCAGACCCGAAAACCCCAAAACAGTTCCAGGGCCCACGGGACCGTGCATATGGGACCTGGGTGCCGCACTATCAGGATTCAACACATTTCAACACTCAAGAGCGAGCGTGTATTGCCTTGCAGGCGCGTCGTAGCCGACAACAGTGCTGGTGGTCAGAGTGGGCTGCTCCTCCGGAGCACTCAAGCGGGCATGAAAGAGACTGCAAGATACAGCACCGTAGGTGAGCCGCGAGAGCCAAGAGGCGCATGGTGTGTAGAGGAGTTTAAAGTGCAGGTTGAGTGCAGGAGTCCTGCTGCTGAACCAGAATCTCCGGCTTACGCCGCCTCCCGTGGACAGTGAAATCGGGCCCTATCATGCATGTCATTCGAGTTCTGAAGTCTGATACCGCCGCTGCCGCGCCGGAGTTTTAGAAGCGTACCCAGGTCCCAAGACTCCCAAAGCCTGAGCCCACTACAACAACCAAGCCCCAAAGCATCCCAAAACCCGAGCTTGTTTTAGCTGTGCATGTCGAGTGACTCTGTGGGTGCAGAGACGGTCGCAGCGGCGTCTTCTGCTTCGCCTGCTGGGAGTCTAGGGGTTTTGGATTCTGATGGGATTGGAGACTTCGGGAGTTTAGGGTGTCAATGGGCTTTCAACCCCGAAAAGTATCCACGCGGGTCCCTGTGCGTCAAGTCCCCGTTTCTTGGTGGGATTTCGAACTTGGGGCTTCCTCTTGTTCGCACCTGGCTGCTCCTTTCATCTTGAATCGGTGAAAGCATATCAAAGCGGGAAATAGCAGAATGTGGGGCAAGCGTTGGCAAGCCATATCAGATCGGAGAGTACACTCCGGTCTGATCGGCTCAGCTGTGTTTTCTGATTTTCTCCGTGCAACCAAGTTTGGGAACCGACTTCACCGTCAAAGGTACCTGCTTAACAGTTGAGTAGCTTGCGGCCTCCATTGACGCCGTGCCGGACTTCGGAGATTCGATCCTGGAAGTCCTTGCACTTCTTCTCCAGAGCCTGGATGCAGACATGCTCGCGACATTGTCGGTCAGGAAAGAAGTACAACTTCTGCCGGGGCTGAGCCATCTGCGTGCTGCCGCTTCTGCGCCAGCAGCAAGTGGCTGTGCATTCCAACCTCCGCGAACCCGTGAACCATGGGGGCTAAATGAGGCTAACGACTCGGACCGTGACATTCCATGGATCTGTGGAGGCGACCACTGCTTGACGCAACCACTCCACTTCCTGCCTCAGTCCAGGTCGCCGCTCTGCAATGTTCTGCAACCTTTGCCTCTGCGACTGACTGACTCTAAGAAGTGCGCCACGTATCGGCCAGGTCCGTGTCCTCAGAACCTTGCAAGCAACTCCCACCCATCCCTCGGATCCTAGCTCAGCCACGTTTCGGTGTGCCATATTTCGACCTTTCTCAATGAAGCTTGAACCGCAAGTCAACGACCGGCAAAATCCGAGATGTACGATGCGACTCTAGGCCTCTAGGCTGGAGAGTGCCTCATAACGTGTCATCGCTTGGCGGTCGCTCTCGTGCAACTGGATTCACTTGCTAAATTGGTGGCCAGTGCATGACAAGATGCTTCCTCTGATGTTCAATGTCAATGTGTGTACCAGCGAAAACACATCCCGACACGGTGAGTGGCGCTGCTCTTCAAGCGGTGCGGACCCTCCATCTGTAGAGTTCACTGGTAGGTGCAGCGCCAATAATGAGAGTTCTGTGCCCAGCCCAAGTCAGAGCACTTTAACTGAGAATGTCTCCACTACCAATCGGGTTTCAGGGGCTTGGCGCTTCAGGGTTATGTGGACTTGCACAGGACAGGCTCTTTATTTCACCAATCAACAGCAATCAACAGCAAAAAGAATCACTTAGCGAACGCTGACGGCAGCAGCTTTTCATCATCGCAGAAAGCCCCAACCCTACATGCTCACAACAGCCCGGAGCTCCGCAAGTCGCCGGCCTGCGACATGCTCTCCGGAGGGCGACACCTCGCAGGAACCCATGGCTATCAATCAGTAGCAGCTACAAGCAGCAAGCAGCGACAAGCAGCTACAACAAGCCACTCAAGATGCGCAATAGCCGCTGCCGATAGTTTAGCCGTGGCCTGCCGGCTGCCGCTCTGGCGCAGATGAGCCTGAAGGGGGTGAGACAGTGGAGGGACTTTTCAGCACAGCGGCACACCCCAAACCCTGAACCCGAATGCCAAAGGCATGCATGGTGCACATTAGGGCCCAAAGAAACGCCCCCAACAGAACACCCAAAATCAGCCTAATTTAGCCTCATCTAAAATTAAAAGCCCTCCGCAGATACCAAAATGCGCTCTGAACTCAGGTGGACACTGAGCAGCTCCGGAACTTGTCGTAAACCTCCTCTGCGGGCTTAGCTTTCTAAAACGCTGAGTTCTCGCATCTTCTGAGGCCTGTTGGAGAGGGAGCTTAGGGCTTAGGATCGAGGCTTTCTCTGCCGCAGGGCTTTTAGGATTTGAGGATGTTTGGACCCTGAGGATTTAGGGAGCATGGCAAACGATCCTTCGTGCTGCCCTACTATTTACGAGCCTAGGCCCCTCAACTCCTGAACCTGTAAGACTCGTCACACTCGAAGCTGGGGCTTGAGCCTGCAATAACTCCTGCAGACCATCGGCGCGGATCGGCCTCTGCTGTCCCTGGCAGATCTGATTTGCGAGGGCCTGGTAGGCTTTGGTGTTCGGCAGGCTCAGGCCATACACTGCAACCTAAGATGACGCAGTAGCGGGCTACAAGTGGAAGCACAGTTAACTGCTAAGCCACTGCTAAGCCACTTCACTGAAGACTCATGAAATTGAAATGACTGGAACTTGCCGGCGACTTTCGAGCTGGAGAAATGAGAGCACCGCGTGCCTCAGGGAAGCTCGATCGACCTTGGCTTGGACCGATTTGGACAGGCTTGGATTGCCGCTGTCCCTCTGACCCGGACGCCGAAGCTCTCTTGAGCACTCTTGGGCTGCAAACTCTTGACACGCACGCGATTGCGCGGGGAATCGGAACGATGGGAAGCACGGTCCTGGAGCGTTGCGGCTGCGTCGTGGAAAAGCTGCTGGCAAGCTGACAACCTGACGTCCCTCAGGGTAGCCTCGGCGGGAATCGGCTGTTTCGGGAGCTCCGGTGGCGGGAGATCTCGTAGTGACCGGTCCTGGCATGAACACAGTCCAGCACGAACCCACAACAGCAATTGCCCGCGCCTCGCAATTGCCTCTTCTGTCCTAATCTCCCGTTGCTGCGCCAAACTCCGAAACGACAGACGACACAACACCAGAGCTTTCCTTCGCCTGCGCCCCTCAAAATCGGTTGAGGCATCACTGAAACAAAACGAAGGCATTCCGGACGAATTCGCCTATGTGCTAGGTGCCGACTGCAAGACGACACATCGGAGCCGCATACAACGGCCTGATGGGGGAGACCTCTCCCGTAGGTGGGGTCACTATCATTCTCAACAGCCACGCAAGGCCTAGACTCACAAACCCGACCGCCTTGACCGTATGGGGCTTAGGACTTCGGGCTACGAGCCTGCAGCATGTTCTCATAAAAGGAGCTCAGCCTTTGTTGAAGTCTTCCTTGATCATCACTTATCATCCCTTGTTTCAGCGCCTTCACGTCCTCCACAGGAGCGTTCGCATCTGTCGGCTCGGGTAAGACCAAGTGCTCCTTGCAAAGTCAACCCCGATCCCATGCAGATTCAGCCACTCGCAGCCGAATGCTCCTTCCACAACGGCGAGTTGCAAGCACACGGAAGATTCCGACAGCTTCCGATCCTCACTGTCCTCCTCTGCTGGCTTGTCTGGCATGGGGTCCACCCTTGGCGGCTTCTCCTCCTACGAGCAAAAGCTGACTCATGGGCTGGTGTTGTTGCAAAGGTCGGAGACTCCAGCTGGAACGTAGGCCCTGCATCCTGACACCCGAACCCCCTGAACCCTATACCTCGAAAATCCTAGAAACTTAAACCTGAACGCTCCCATAAAGCCTAACACCTTAAACCCTTCTTTCAGCCCCTTCAACCACCAAAACCCATTAAACTCTTTCAGTCCTTTACACGATTTAAACGTGAGCCCAAGTCTCGTCCTGGCTAGGACGCCTTGCTGGCTGCTCCGAAGGCACCTCCCCCATGCACCAAGCCATGCCATTTTGGGGAGCTTTGAGAGATCCTTCTTGATCACTGTGTTGAAAATGCATACTGCGCCAGAGACAACTGCTAGCTGCTAGTCCCCACGAAGAATATTAATTGAATGCTGCGCCTTCCCGCCCTTCTACAACACCTGCAAAAAAAAGCCTGGGCCTTCTGCACCTCTGCCTCACGGGACTTCTGGTTAAGCGAAGGGTCCTGGGCTTGTGGGGGTTTGGTGCTGTGTGGTGCTTTTCTGGGCTGTCATTTTGTTGGGCAGTACCGGGGCCTGAAACCTGCTGGCCCTAGGCCTGAAGGGAGGTCCGTCCTCGAGCTGTGTGTCGGTTGGCGGCGGCAGAAACTCGCGCGCTACGACGGTGCGCCTGCACATGGGTTCCGGGTTCAGCTTTCCTGGACCCCAACCATCCCCAAACTGTCCCACACCAGCTTTTCGGTTTGAGGGCTTAGGGCTCAGGCTTCCCCCCCAAAAACGATTCGCAACGGCTCCTCCTGGACTCCACTGGGGCTGGAAGCACGGGGATGTCCTGCCAAGGCGACAACAAAAGCACGAAGCACGGCAATCCAATCCAACAGAGGAATTTTTCGGGAGTTGGGGGCCATGGCAGAGCATGGCAGAGCCTCCCGGCTGTCTGTGATGCTCACGAGCTTGGCCTCCGAAGCAAGCTCCTTACCTCGGCTGAGGTTCTTCGGCTGCAGGGTTGAAAGTGTGTCAAGTGCAGCACACGTGTGCGATTCAGGGTTGAAGGTTATGGGGCATTCTAGGGTTCCTAGAATCCTCAAACACAAGACCTCCTTTTTGTCGTGCACTGCAGCTTGGCGTTCGACCGGCTAGGCATTGCAGGAGCCGCTCTCTCCGAGCGCGCATGGCTTTTCCATGAAAGGGGTTCCTCTCAGCATCCTTCAGCAACGGAATGGTACGGTACAGTGGGGAGTTGAGCGCAGCAAGGGGTTTTCTCGTTTCGGGATCTTTGCGTGCAGCAGTTACGGCAGCTGCTGATGGACACAGCAACGCTTGGAATTTGACATTGGCCGAGTGGCTCTTGTCGGTTGGCCTGCATGGGCCCTGCTCAACCAGTTACTGAGGTTGAGGTCTCGGTACAGCCTATGATAGGCTATGTAGGGTTTTGTAGGGTTGCAACCTGGGCGTTAAGGGCTTAGGGGCTTAGGGTCGCTGGGGTTCAAAGGCGCAACAGACAAGGCACTGCACGCGCCAGCCACGCGCACTTCTGAAGTAAAACCAGGAAGACAGGTAACCCAACGTAGAACGAATAGTGAAAGGTCAGACGTTGAAGAGGCATTGCAAGCAGAATGAGGCGGGCCGGCTCTGCGTGACAGACGTGTGGATCCTAATCACGAGGGCCGCTGGCCTTTTACAGAGAATCAACTAGAATCCATGCCAGTAGGCATTGGTTTGCAATCTCCAAGTACAAGGGATGCTCTCGTGAAAGCGGGCTCCGATCTAGTCAAGACTCCGCGGACAAGGCCAGATGCCTTCTGAATGTGTTCTGAATGCCTGTGAGCCCATAACTCGACTCTTCGGCGGAAGGACAAAAGTCGCCAAAACAGCATAACACAACTTCGGCGAGGTTGGGAACTTGACCGAAGCTTTCAACCTGCTTTCAGCCAGAGAGTCAAGTCACAGGCTCCAGCAAGGGGACCTACTTATACTGCATTGTCTTCGAGCACAACTGGAAGCCTACAGCTCAGCGGTGAGACCCCTCTCACTCGATCAACGGTCTTGGCTCGCATGCCTGGCATCTTCGCTGCAAGTCTGATTGGAAGGCCGCGACAGCACCGTGGACCAAGAAACACCCTCAACCCGCAGACCCGCAAACCGCCCGGACTCGTCCTTAGGGTGGCGGCTGCGACGGCGGGGGTGGCAGGCGGCGGCGGCTGGGACCTAGGCGATTCGTTTGAGTGGCCATCGGGCCTCAATGGCAAACAGGCAAGCACACGAGAGTAAGCTGGGGAAGTCGGCTGCTCTTTCGCGGTGCAAGCGTGGACCACGCATCCTCGAAGACTCCGCGCTGCCCATCGCGTTCTCGAAACCTGAAGGTGGCAGTGGCTGTGAGAGATTCGGTTTACGGCCTTCATGGCTTATGGATGTATGGGAGGGGAGCGGGGGCCCTGCCTGCCGGGGGTAGCAATGAAAGGAAGCTCCTTCGCCAGCGACTCCCTCCGCGAGTCCTGGAGGGGCTTTGGGCTCCAAAAGGAACACGACCACGAACTCATGAACCCCCCGGGTAAGGGGTGTATCGGAAACCAACTCGAAAACGCAACAGAAACCAAACAAAATGTGACGGAAACTACGCCCCAAAACCTGGAGACAATACGCAGGTGCAACGGAAACTGGGCGGACCTGCGACGGAAACCAAAAAGAGATGTAACAGAAACCACGGAAAACCAAACCCGAAACCCTAGACCCTAAACCCCTCAACCCTCTGGCTACCCCAATCCTTTCTCCGCCTTTCATCTCTCTGTATGGGCAGTTGGTTTCTGTTACGTCCCGCAGTTGTTTCGTTTCGATTACCCCCTCCTGTTGTTTCTGTTTCGATTTGGGGGAGATAGTTCCCGTTACAACCCACCAGTTTCCGTAACAGACTCTACACCCCTGTCCCCTGTAGCACCCTGCTCCAACAAACAACAATCCTCGAAACTTGACGCCTCGGTCGGCGCATCATCACCGGCACTGGGCTCGGAGACCAAACGCTTGGCCTTCTCGAGCATGGCCTGTCGATGGGACTCTTCAGGATTTCGTGCGGTGGGGTCGTGTGCTGTTCGCGAGGACGGAGGTCGCAATGCACCAAAACTACACTACTGGGAGCTGCCGGCGCAAGAGGGCTTCAAAATCCTTGGAGTTCCTTCCTAGAATAGCACGGCACGTCGCACACGTGCGGCCAACAAGCCTGCTCACAGCATCACCAACTTCAGGGTTCATGGAACTGAGGCAAGGTGCACTGATGCGACAAAACAACAAAACTGCGGCAGAGGCACCTCCTTCCCGACCGAGCTGCGCCTTTGGCCGTCGGCCCCGCGCTTGGCGCCGCGGCAGCTCCTGTGGGAAGCCAACTGCTCCCCCAAATTATCACGCTGGTCGTGTTCTCGTGCTGCTGCTGAGGTTGCACAGCGTCCAGCCAAGTCAGACAGCAACCATGAAGCCTCAACCACCAACCGATTCTACCTCCATGTTCGGCCCGTCTCCGACCGGCACTCTCATGTTCAGCCTAAGCCAAAGCCCTAACCCACCTTTACCCCGCCCAGTCTCCCGGTCCCGGCGTCGACCGGCGGAACAGCGAACATGGCTCGGACGAGTTCCTGCAAACGGCTCAACGGCTCTCCGGCTCTCCTCCCAGCACAGTCAAAAAAACTCCTCAACCTCAAAGCAACATCAAAGCCCACTGAACCCTAAACTCTGAACCCTGAATCCCCCAAGGCAGTCGGCTGCACTCATCCGCTGAGGCCTGGAGAGCATGAGGCACCCCAATCCCTCGCCTGGAATGGGTACCAACCGGCATCCGGGAGCGCCGACTCTCAACCCCCCTGCCCTCCAAAGAGCTCGCCTTGCCACCCCATCGCCATGTCTTCTGCCTTCTGCTCCCCCCGCTACCCCATCTACCCCTCTCTTCACACCCCCCCCTCCAGGCAACATCGAGGCAGAAGCGAGCCGCGGCTTGGTTTTGTGAGGTTTGCGGATCGCCTTGGCGTCTTACATGTTGCGCGATCAGGACTCACGCCAGCAGATGGAGAGTCGACGTGCCCGCCAGATCGCTACGCTTGCAACCTCATCTGGTGACCCCAGACCACAGCAAGGTGCCATCTGTCACGCTGGTTCTTTTTTTGAGGAACACCCACTTCTTCGATCATGCCGGAAGTGCCCGGAAGGATGCCGCCGGAAGGATGCCATGCTTCATGCGAGCGCTTGGCATGCGCTCACGCTTTTGACGGCAATGACTCCCGAGCGGCTGGTTGCCGTGGGGACCCAGTGCGCCGCCATGCTCAGTTTCAAGATGGTGTGCAAACCACGCTTCGGATGGATCAGATTGCGCCGAGCGAGCAGAGTGCCGAAGCAGCGTCTGCTCTGGCAAAAGGCGAGTAAGCACAGCACGGCACTTTGCCGAGGCACGACTTCAAGAATCGCTTTAAAGAGAAAACGCCAATCCGAACGCTGCCTAATGCTGCCTACTTTGCCTTTCACCGGCCTGCGCCGCCTGGATGCTCGCTTGCGCCGGGACCTCCGTGTCGGCGCTCAGCTCCTCCAAGGCGCTGTTCATGGCCTCGTCTCCGGCTTTGGGCTGAAGGCTTAGGGTTCAGGGCTTTTTTGTTCAGGGCTTAGGGCTTAGGCCCTCGAGGCTAGGGCCTAGGGCCCCATGAAGATTTAAGATCAACTTGGCTCGCGCGAAGCATTTGGCACGCTGTGAAACGAGGGACCCTAGCCGCCCTTTTGCCATCTTGGTAGAAGTTGCTTGCAAGGTTCCAGGCCCCCTGCACTAAAAGTGATGCGGCGGCTCTTCCTCCGCCTGACAGATCGCAGCAGGTTTGATTCCAGTGCTTTGGGGTTGGGTAACTCGACTGTTTAAAGCCCTTGCACTCGCAACTGAAGCCAAGGCCAATGACATCAAATGACAGAAGTCGGATGCTATCGGAGGCTAACACGCCTCTCTTCAGTGCCCGAGGCGACGGGAGACCGCGGCGTCGTTGGAGCCTACAGTAAAAAAGGGCTTTGAGAATTTGAAACGCAGGAACTCAAACTCAAGAGAGAAAGCACCTCGCCGAACTCCGGTGTGCGTGGGTTGGGCAGTCCAAACTCCTGCACAGGTGGACTAGCAGGCCAAGAGGGTTTGGTCAATGCTGCTCAGGGTCTTTGAGGCTGAGGGGTGGGGGGAGGTGTAACGAGGGCTGCATGCTTTCAGGATTCAAGGTCATCGTGGCGGCCTGGGAGTACGCTCCGGGTTGGGCAGGAAGAACAGCCCCGCGAAACAAAAAAACTGCTGGGAACTATTGTTGGACCTCCCCCCAGCCCCCTGTCGCCAGCAGATCCGCATTGTTGACAGAATCTCCCAGTTTCCATGCATCTATGGTGTCTTTTTTGAATGCCCCGCATCACGATGTCTTATGTGTTGCTTCTTGCGCGATGTGGCGGTGTGCTACTGCAACCTGATGCCAGATGTCGTTTTTCCCACATATTGGGGGCGGCTCGGCGGCCTGCCCTGAAAGCTTCATGGGCACTGCGCAACGTTCAGATGCCAGACATCCTCCTTAGACCCTGGCACTTGTGCCCGGGATATCTGGAATGGTCTCCAGGGTTCAGGGTTTTCGGGTTCAGGTTTTTAAGGTGAGCTATCTCTCTTGGCCCCACATCTAGTGCAGGGAATTCTCCCTTTTCGTTTGATTTGTTTGGACCTCCAGCTCAAAAATTAAAACTTAAAACCCTCATGTAACCACTGCGAGGTACGGTAGGTACTGTAAACCAACAGAGGCTGCATTTCCTTCACCGGGAACATGTTAATCAACCCGTTCACAGTTCACAGAGGCTTAGGATCCAAAGCATCGGGGCTTTAGAAATGAGGGGTCGGAGAGGTGCTTGGATGAAGACGGTCAAAGAGGGCGTGCTCACGCGTGGAGTTATGTCAGCTTTACACCCGCCCTGAGCCAGCTGTGTCCGAAGCCTTAACGTTCAGCACCCTAAGCCACAAGGCATACTGCAGCAGGGCAAATGGGGTTCAGAGTTTAGGGTTCCCTTGCCACTCCCAGTTCCCAGCTGCTGCGCCTCCTGTCCGGGGCCGATCTCTGCATCCTCCGGGGTGGGGGGGGGCGGGGAGGTCACTTGAAGAGTCTTGGCTGCAGTAGATTCAATAGTCAGGTTACGAAAAAAACTTGAGGCGGGGTCCATCTCTTCGAATTTGTGACGTGTCTAGGAGCCTCAATCCCTTCAGGCGTACAGGACATTCGGACACCCCAAGGCTGAAAGCTGACGTTCAAGCCCGCAACCCCAATGCCCACACCTGCATGGCCAGCTGCCGCTGCTGAATTCGGGTGCGCAGGGAGGCCGTGGATCCTCCGATCCCCCCACTCCGGCTTGGGTTGCAAGTTGCTGTGCAGCTTGGCGTTTCGCAGCAGGGGCTCTGGGTTCGAAAGACTTCAAAGATTTACCATACGATAAGCCGATAAACCCTATGAAGCCTATGAAGCCTATGAAGCCTATGAAGCCTATGAAGCCTATGAAGCCTATGAAGCCTGGAGCCTCGAGCGTCCTCCGGCTGACTCTGCGGCCGCCAGCGCCCGCCTCCGCTCGCTGCACCGCTTGCGATGGGACTCCTTTCGCAGCTTCGGCAGGGCTTCTTTGAACCAGCGCCTTACAGGAAGAATGGAGTGTGGGGGTTGGAAACCACTGGGGTTAGGATTGCTTCGGGCCTTGGGGTTTTGTTTGGCCTGAACTTTGGAAGCCCAGACAGGTGAGCTGCAGAAAGAAGCCACAAACGCAGTCCTTCTCTTCCCTTGCACTTCTGCGCGGCCTGCGCAAATTTCTGAGTCAGCGACCCCGAAAGGCTGGAGTTCAGACGGGCTTGAGGGCTTGAGGGCTTGAGGGCCCTAAGCCTCAGAATGTCTTGCCCCTGCTCAGCGCGCACCTTTCCCTCACCTTCCCCCCGGCCGTGCCTGACGTGAGCCTGCGGACAGGGCTTGGGATCCCAGCAGATTCAGGGGGTTGTTAGTTTGAAACTGCGCTGAGTCTGGGGAGCAGAAGAACCAGGTCCCAGAGGGGGGTGTAACATGCAGAGGACCCACCCTGTTCCCGCCTCGCCCAGATGCTTTTGCCAGGGCTGGGGCGGTGTGGCCTGGTACTCAGCTTGGAACAACAAAAGTATCCGTCTCTGTAGAAGCGCATGAGGACTCAGGGCCGGGCGGCACTGCCACAAGGCTCACAAGGCTTCCTAGCTTGAAGGGATGCCATGGCAAGTGCTTCAAGGCGAGCCGCTACACCAGGAATCGCGATCGAGCAGTCGGTACTGAGTCGGTACCGTTTGTTCCGCCTGCTGTCTTCACAAGAATACCCCGTACTACCCTCCTGAATTCTCAAGATGTTAGACCTTAGGAGAAGGCCGTCTGAGAACCCTTGTCTGTGGACTCCAACACTTCTCATTTCTCAGGGAAGGCCGCTGCGGACAGTCCATGGACACAAAAAGGTACAAGCTCTGAGCGAGAAAGCTTGTTCCTCAGCATCTCCACCACCGAGAAAACAAACTTTGGATTTCGGAAGAACTGTAGGTCTGTAGGCTTGCAGTTCCTCAGTCCAAACCCCCTAACATTTAACCCTATAAACGACCTGACGCGGGTGGAATCGCTGCAGCCCAGGGCGTGTAGCGATCTGAGCCACGGGCTGGCTCTTCTCGACTGAGAGCCTGGCACATGCTTGGGTGGGCTTTGGAGGGTTCAGGGGGAGGCTGGGCTTTTGGGTCTTGTATTGGGTCCCGCAGCCCGCGACTGCCTAAACTGAACCTCAACGTGAAGACCCATTGGATGGAACCCGTGGGACTTTTGTCAGCTGCGCCTTGGTCCACACTGCCGAGGCTCGCTTGAGACATGTGGGACCTTAGGAGAGAAGGGGGCTGGTGTTCCCAGCAGTGGCAGAGACGGCAATGAGAAGCACGGCAGGTACGCTTAGTCTGAAGGACTAGGGAAGGCTTGAGAAGCCTTCGCATTGGGGCTGAAAACTCTCTCGGCTTCTCGTTTCGAAGGTACAGACATAGACATGTTGCCATACAGTTTCTTGCGAGTCATCGCTGGACTAGGCACGGCCTACGTCTGATAATGGCCGAGGCACCGCTCACGATAGGTACTAAAACCGGGCATATGTATTGCATTTGCACTATCGGTCGGATCAGCATCGTGGTGCCTTCCCTATCGGCATGTGAAAAAGGAGTTGGCAGTGGCATGTGTACTCAACTTTTTTAAATCCATCCGAAACTTTTTGATTCTCTGAAGTAGCTGTGTATATCGGCATGATGGGAAAGGAAATTCGCAACTGCCGAAGCACGCGACGGCTCCGCACGGTGTGACCCGGTTGACCCGGCCATACCGGGTAATTATGACCGAGTACGACCAAGTACCCGAAACTCTCAGAAAATCGAAGTGGGGAGTTGGCGGCCCCTCGAGGAGTGAATGGATTCGAAGCGATTGCAGGGGATGGCTACCGTGAACGATTGCGCCCGACATGTCGTGTCAAAAGCCTTCAGTATCTCCGCAGCTGCTGTGGCCCTCCCAACAATGCTAGAGAAGGGGGCGCTGTGAACAAGAAGCATCGGGAGAACTCCAATGACAACCTTTGACAGCTGCACATTGGAGGTCGTTGCCGATGCAACTCCGCCAGCACCCAAAGGCGTACAGGCATACTCGGAACATTCTCCGGGCGTACTCGGTCATTCTCAGGTGGACTTGGGCGTACTGCATCTTTGCTGGTGATACTTGAAGTGGCTGGCATTTGCTACATCCGCAGCAAAGTGCCCAAATATGCAAGTCTGTTGAAACAAGCTCGATGCATAGACGCGGCTGCCGGGCTCTTAAAGGTACAGCTGCATGCCTTGCTACTGTCGATCCAACAGACCCCCCGAACCCCAAACAGCAGTCCCTGGCCTTTCGCTGACGACCGGTGCGAACGCTGCATCCGCAGAGTCTGCTGTATCCCGGCGGCCTTGGGGTTTAGGGATTCAAGGTTACGGGTGGGTTGCTTCGCGGGGTGCGCGGGGTGGGTTGTTGCCTGGCTCTGGCCTTCCCCTACAATCAGGAGAGGAGAGCCAAGGGATAGAAAAGCTTCGGGCCCCCTTTTTTCCGCCTTAAACGCCAAGGATTCGGTGGGGGGCTTCAACACTCTGCCTGGGGCATGGGCTGAGCCATGAGAAGCTCGGAGCCGACTATCTTGGCCTACTTGCAAAAACCACCCATGGTAAGTAAATCATAAATTCTGCGGCAAGGGGCAAATGGAGGGCTGCTCATCCTCGGACTCGAAAGTCTTGAATGTGACCATGCCTTGATGGGCCACTGAAGGTTGACTATGGTTGACTCAGAATGTCTCAAGGAAATAGCCCTCCGGCCCTCTGTACGTCTAAGGGGGCCCTGTGGAAATCCCACGTGTGCACACGGAAGGCCCCCATGTCGCTGCCACAGATGTCCAGCCTAAAAATCACTCCAAGCACCTTCAAATGCAGCTTCAACCCGCTGAGCCATGTTCTGCCCGGCGAGGGTGCGCACAAAAGTGCCAACGGAGCCCAAGTCAACACAGTCTCTAAACACTGAGCACCCCTGAAACGTGAGATGCCCTGAACCTTAAATCAACCCACGCTACAGAGGCCCAGGCCACTGGGGCGCACCGAGTCGGAGGTGGATGCCTGATGTCACCCTATCGGAGAACCATCCAGCAGGTTCAGGGCTTCTGGTACAATCTTAGGGCTTGGGCCCAGTTTGGGCTGAAAGGCGACAAGTGGTCGAGATATTCGCCCGAAACCACTGTACATGGATCAATCTTAACGCTTCAAGCCTGAACCGATACTGACACTCTCAAACCTTACTCCCTAGGTTTAACAGCACAACTCCCCGAAGTGATCTCAAAGACAGAAACATTGGCCCCCTAGATCAGGGCGTATCAGTGCACAGAGGCTGCCTCCAGGGTCTCCTCGCCCTCGGCCTCCCCAAGCGAGCCAAACCGGTGCTTTACGGCTTAGGAGGCTCAGGGCATCATTGAATCATATTGAATCATAGCCGCTCATAGGCTCCACAGCTTGTTCGATTGCTAGCGCCGTGCGGTTTCGGGCTGGATGCTCAAGACGAGGTGGCCGCAAAGTGGCAGCTAGAGATCATATCACGGGCCCTTGCACTTCCCGTATGTACAACTTGAAAGTTTACCATTACTCGACTTGCCATATTGCCCCCGACAACTGTAGCTACAATGTGTGTGTGTGTGTGTGTGTGTGTGTGTGTGTGTGTGTGTGTGTGTGTGTGTGTGTGTGTGTGTGTGTGTGTGTGTGTGTGTGTGTGTGTGTGCGTGTGTGTGTGTGTGTATGTGTGTGTGTTGTTGATGCCACATTCAAGTTAAACTGTTGACGCCGGCGTCAGTCGTACGGGTTCCGAGGCCTAAATCTTAAAGTTCCCAAGCCACCCAAAGTCTACAATGCTGCTCGAAGCAATGTGATACCTGAGGAGACGATTGCCGACGCCAGCGATTCTGCCAAGGCTGGGCCGACGGGTCCTGGCAGAGCAGCTCGGGGCGAAGCAGTCAGCCGAAACCCACTTTCTCGTTCATTTTGTTTTCACGACCCTCGTATGGCAAATCGGTCAACCACAACGCACTCTCAGAACAGCGGCTTCTTTACCAGACGTTTCTCTGGGGTTCCGTGTTCCTACATTGCTGCAGCTCTCCTTGGGCCCACAAGCCATCCCATACGAGACGAGGGGCCTCCCTCAAAAAACATACCCCCAGGCCACAGACGCCTCCATGCCCTCCTGCTCCTCGGGTCCCGTTGGCCTCAGAAACGCTGTGAACTTTGACTTCAAACTGTTCGACTGCTGCACTGAGACTGCGTGGCTGAGGACTTCTTGGTCCAAGCGCAGGGCCTACTTTTCCGTGGGAAGTATCACGCTGGATTCTCTGAGAAACTAAGTGTCCCACACAATGCTTGAGATGCTTTCGAGCTCACCCTGGCAAGCATGACACAGCATTGACCGCATTGAGCACATATGTGAGTGCGCGTTGCTCCCGAAAGTGCCTCGCGCAGCGTCACCATGCCCTGAAGAGTGTCTTGTTCATTCAATGCACCCTCAGCGAGTCTTCCTGCATACTCCCAAGGGAAGAAAGAATCCATCTGTTTTGATGCACTGCAGAGCTGCTTGCGGCTTTGCAGGATAGTGCAGCATAGTGCACAGGGTAGGCACTACAGAGGAGTGCTTTGCCTCCGAACTCCTGGTCTAAGATGGTCTAAGCCACGGCTATCTGCAGCTTTCTGTGGCTCATGTACTTGGACTTCACGTCCACCAGAGGATGCGCACGAAGCCTCGGCTGGACAAGGTCTTACAGAATATCCCACCTCAAAGTGATGAGCTTTGCCATTACCTTGGTGGCCGGGCACGATGGGCCCATGAATGCCCATGAATGATCTTGTAGTGGCCCTTCTCCGCAGACGAGGCACGGCACTTGCGCAGCCCGCAGAGCCAAAAAGCAGGATGCCGCGGGACAGGTTGCGTCTGCAGGTGCCGTACTACCTCGCGAAGAGGTATCTCATGTTCTCTTTCGCACTGTCCATGACACCTCAGGCAATCACACGCTGCTTGGAAGCGCAGTGGGCTTGCCATTCGGCACGATCACGAACACCAACAGCCCGGAGATGACTTGGACCCCATCTAGTGTTTGCACAAGCCCTTGGCACGTTGCAGATGAGTTGCAAAGATCTCAGGCCCTTTACCCCAATCCCGAACCCAAATGCACAAAGCCCGCAAAAAGCCCCCAAGCCTTGAACACCACAACCCCAAACCCTGAATGCCGAGCCAAGCTTGCATGCGGGGTACCGAAGCTGCACGCGGCGTCCGGGTCCCCAACGCAGCGGTGGGCGCAATGCCGAGGGAGGCCCGGCCTGGAGATTGGTTTCGGGTTTTGGGTTTCGGGTTTGGGAAGTTTGGGGGTTGAGGGTTTGGAGTCTAGGGTTTAGTCTTTTAGGGGTGAGGGGGGGGGGGGTTAAACTTGGGGGGCGTCGAGGGCTCCAAGGTTTAAGTGCTTATCAACCTTCATCCATCTACCTGACTCGTCGGGCGTTCTTGGTATGGGGCACGTTAAAGGTGCTTCTTTGCTTTCTTGTTGGTTTGGGGGGGGGGGGTAAGCCCATCGCATCGGCACAAGCTTTCTGGGGTCTTGGGGTGGTAAAGGCATGGTCAGTTCACTAAAACCTTTCTGGCCAGAGGTGGGGCCTGAGGTGAGCCAACATGACGGTGATTCGATGCTGCACGAAATCTCCGGAAATGTGAGACGCTCAGGCGAGTGCCAAATCTCCACGATCAGGACCTTGCAGTTTGGGTGCAATCCGTTGTCAACGCAACTCCCTATTCTTGGGGTTGACACAAAAGGCCTTGCAGCCAGGATACAGATCGACGACCTCCTGTGATCTGGGCCACGCTATGCCTCGGCAGTGCCAGACCAGCGAAAGACCACTGAAAAGACCCCCAACATCCCCCAACCCGCAACCCCAGACTGTCTTTCATGGCTGCCGACACGCAACATGAAACCCCTAATTGAACCCCAAGCCCCAAACGCCAACCCTGCAGCCTAATCCCTAAGCACCCCCACAAGAAATGAAAAAAAATGAAAAGAAAAAACAGCCTAGACGCGGCTTGTGGGAGGGGAACACGATGGCATCGCCCCGATGGAACTCGTGCTCCCTGACGGATATATATATATATATAGCTTTTGGATATATATAGCTTTTGGAGATTTGGGGCACGGACATTTGCAGGGCCTACGGCCGCCTATCTGAAAGATAAAAAGGCGAAAGTGCAATGGCCTACGAGACGGTCATCGCGTCGTTGTTGTCGTTGCGGGTTCAGGGAGGGATGGTGGGCACCCAACAATGCAAGCCCATTAGCTGTTTGGAATTATCACACTGCAAAATTGGGGTCAGAAGCTAGCTTTCTTCACTTGAGGGCTGCAAGAGCTTTCGGGGTTTCGGCCTAAGTTTAGGGGCTTGCCCGAAGTCGTGGCGGGCACTCGAAAACCCAGGCCTCAGCACACCATCTGCCTCCAGGGTGCAGAACTCGCCGCCAGAGCTTGCTTCCTTGGGGCTCAGGGTTTCTCTTCTTTTTTTCCTCGTGCTTGGTATATAGATTTATGTTTGAGGAGTCTATTGGAGTTCGGATTGCTTCGGCTTGTACGCAGTGTAGCGGGTCTTCTCATTGCGCGGCTCCGTGCTCAGTTCATTCCATGATGTGTCAGGGCAGAGTGGCATAAGTTCAAAGAGCGCCGCAGGCTTTCCAGGCTTAGAGTTAAGAGTTTAGAGCACAGCTTCGCTGAGCATGAGGTCAATCGTCACAAGGGAGCCGGTGTCTCGATGGTGGTGGTCAGCAAGACCTACAGGGCCCACACAGCTGTTTTTGGGAGTTTTTTGGGCAGCTTAGGACCTTGGCCGCTGCTTTGTGTGATTGTCAGTTTCCCCCGCCTCCTCCCTCCAGGTACTCGTGGTGCTCAATGCACCTTAGGCTCCCCTCCTCCACTGGCATGGCCCACTGCTCCTCCCGGTTCACGCGAGCTGCCAGGGAACGGATCCTGCCACGGATCGCCACATGGCCAACTGGCTCAGACCAAACTCTACACTCTCAACCTTCCGCGCAAGAACCCCTCGAACAAATTCGTGTAAACCACAAACACCAAAACCTGTAGACGCTAAAGCTCGAAAACGACCTCTACACTGATAACACAGAAACTGCCAACTTAAAGCCCGAAGGGCCGACGGGCCGATCCTGGCCACCAACCCAGGTTCTCGGGACTGGAACTCGCCATTCGTATGCAGGAAGGTGGTGGTCCACCTTAAGCCCAACAGGGTTTGGACCTGGTTTGGACTGCTGGGACTCGCCGGTCGCATCACAAACTCAAACGATCCGATTCCCCATTCCTCCAGGAAACTCCGAGATGCCCTATAACCATCATGATCCCTTTGTTCTCAAGGATGCTCCGGGATGCTTAAGGGTCCCTAAACTCCCAAACCGCTTCAATCCCATTGCCCTCTTTGGACCCTTGGCCTAAACCGTCTTAAGCCCCATGGGCGTGATATAAGGGGCGCCACACCTTTCAGGGAGAGACGGGGCGCGCGGCGCCGACCGGCGACCGCAGCTCACCGCGGCGGGTTTTGGCCTGCAGTCCACAGACGCCGCCTCGAGCGCGACAAGGGTGGTTTGGGTTTAGGGTTTAGGGATGTTTAGGGTGTAAAGGGGTTTCGGTTGAGAGTTTAAAGGGGTTTAGGGCTGTCAGGAGGTGTATGGATGCATCAAGGTTCTGGATGTGTGAAACTGTGTTTAAGTATCCTGAGAGTCTCAACCGAAGCCGTGAAACGGTCCCCTCCCTAGCCCTTACGACTTTTCACTCCACGCGGCGCATCTCCAGCACCGCGCGCTCCAAGTGCTGGACCTGCGACTGTTTGCTGACTGTCGCATCGCAAAGCCACATTTTTGCATACCTGCATGCTGCCGAGGTGGCAGTCGGTCAGCACAAGATGAGCGTGCACAAAAAAAACACACTGTCCTTTCCCTTCCTGAGATGTGATGTTTTGTTCTTCACCGTTACAGTACAGACACGCAGGTCTGGCACCTCAACACGATCTGCCGGACGTGAGACGTGAACACAGCGTGCGATCGAAACCAACATACTGTTCTGAACATAGTTTTGGCGAGAGCTTCTATTTGCTCAACAGAAATGTGGCAGGAGAGCGAACTGAGAGCACGCAAGCTTCCATCTTCAGAAGCTATTTCCTGAAGTTACCCCGTGGGTCAGCGGGAGGCCTCCTGTAAAATAGAAAGCACGATTGAAGTTTTTTGACTTGGGTACACAGCATCGCTACGAGGGGCACTACATGCCATCTCTCGCAAATCCAGAACTCCCAGCCTCCTCCTCAGAGAGGAAGCCCGAAATGCGCCGCGCCTTTACCGCCTGGGCCTGTCCGAACGGCAATATGCCTTGAACTGCTTGAACGCTTTGAACACTTTGAACCATTTGGGCCACAATTGACACTTTCTGGCCTAGGCTGGGTGGCGACATCCTGTTCTTTTCGACTAAGTACACATGTGACCGTTTTACATTCGATCTGTTTTTGTTCTCACTTCGCTAAGGCTGCGACCGCCAGCAGTGTGCCCTTAGCCCTCAAAAAGCGCGTCCTTCTCGAAGGCCATGGTGCCACGCCCCAAAGCCGATGAGGGAAGCTGCGTGGCAGCTGGGCGCAAAGTGACTTCCAACTGGCAGGGCGGCGGGGTGGTTCACACAAGCCTGTTAAGGGCTTACTTACTTAGGATCTACCCCCGAAACTCCGTGGAAACTGTGACGTCGCGGAATCAGGGGTTTTCGCTTTATCGGGAGGGTAAGGGGGGGGGGGGGTCTTGTTTGAAGGTCGGCTTTTCCCGAGCGCGTGCGGCGAAGGGTTTTTCAGCGAACGTGGTCTTCGAGAAAGTTGTCGTTATCGTTCATGCATGGATGGATGTCGTGATGGCATGATATGGTGTGAGGTACTTTTCAGCTAGTATTAAGTAATGTTAACATGTTTGATAGGCCCTGACAGGCGGGGTAGGGTTGGCGGAAGCCGCCGCGCCTCCGGAAAATCGTGCTGACGCGGAGATTGTGGATGCAAACGATAACCCTCTCTGTGTTCCCGAGGGTGTCCCGAGGCTGGCGCATGGAGCGTCCTGGAAATTCTGGGTGCAAGCGACAACCCTCTTGGTGTTCCCGGCGTGTCCTGACGTTGGCGCGTGGGGCGTCCTCGAATTTCCGGCCGCAAACGTGACACACCAAAAGAACTGCCTGCTTGTAGCCTCCGAGCTTGGACCCTCAACCTCCTGCCCATTCTCCTCCTCTGGCAGGTTGACCGCGTGCACCACATGGCTGGCAAAGGTGTGTGGGTTGCGTCCCTGAAATGCCGTGGGAGACGATGTCTGGGATGATGTCCCAGATGTATCGTGTTGTCGTATCGTCGATCAAACGCTTCGTCTGACCGAACTTGAAGGTCTCACGAGGTCTATTCGCGGCTCAAAACTCTTTCGGGGGGGGGGGGACAACCGTTCTCTAGTTCCAAACCAGCCTCCTCGAAGCGGCTGCCCCGGTGCTCCTCGACCATGCCTTGGCTGGCTCAGGTTCTTGAAGTTTTGGGGTTGAGCCTTCGTTGTTGTCGGTCTTTGTTGCCTCTGGTTGCTGTTGTTGCTGCTTATTGCTCTACTCTTGCAGCAAAGTACCCGGGCTTCGGGTTGAGGATTCCGGGAGCTTCTGCACAATGCAGCACTTTTCGGCTCAGGCACCGTGCAGCAGCTCGAAGGGATCACATTCATCGCCATCACCGGGCACATGAACCATTGCAACTGTGAGGCCCGAGTATCCGCAGTATGCGGACTTGGTCCTGGAGCAAACCTTAGCCGTAAACCGAAACCTTTGGCCCCGAATTTTACGATCCCTCGGTGTGGACGTCATGACTATTGCAGGAGTCAGCTGAACCATGCCGAAGCTGCAGTGCGCCCCGTTGCTTCATGACAAGCACATGACGATACAAGCAAGAGAAAAGAACTCTGAAATGCAAGTGCCTGCTGTCACTGTGTACCCCCCTTGCTGCCAGTTCTGCGCACCCCATAGACTCTATCAAGGAGATACAGCGAAACCAGCTACCACGTAAAGTTAACACACTATGTGAAACTTTTGCTTTGAACCTCCGCACCTCTCTGGGTAGAGATACTCTAGGGTTGGGCACTCTAGTGACACTCTGGGGTTGAACACTCCAGGGACACTCTGGGGTTGGACACTCTCCAGGGACGAGGAGAAGAGTTGACATGAACTGCTCAAACAACACCTAGGACCTAGTGGGCCTAGTCTGCATCTTGCAACACGCCTGCGAGTCTCGCTTCCGAGGAGGCCGCATGCGACCTATGAGGCATCAGAGTCGCACGACCGCTGTGGGGGTTTTGGGCATACCTTGGCAGAGCTCCAGGTTGCACAAGGTGCAACACAAGGAGTAAGAGCCAGGGGCTGTAGCAAAAGGAGAAGAGGGAGCCCTCGGCTTCGGGCTCGAGGTTTCCGGGCGGACATCCTGGACCCAGACGTTCGTAAAAGTCAAGAAAGCTCAGAGCACAGGCCTTGGGGGCTTTGGCCCTTCAGTGCCCAAGACTGCACAGAGTTGGTCCTCCTCAAGCTCCATGCTCTCACCTTGCACACAAGAAGGGTCCGAGCTGGCAAAGTGTTCCAACATGATCCAGCGGATGCTAGAGCGCAGCATATCGCAGCTCATCCCTGAACTACCCTGGTTTCTAATCAGCACGCCCCACCTGCGCGCCAGGAACAATCTCTCTCATCCAAAACTTAGCAACTATGAGCCACTGATATATGCCATTTAGCCACTTGAAGCCATTGCAATGTGAACTCACAAAAAAAGGGCGTGACTGATCACGAAAAGCACAGGGCGTGACATACTGGCTGGGGCTTTTCCGTGTGGACGCACGAAAAACACAGGGCGTGACATACAGGCAGGGCCTTGCCATGTGAACTCACGAAAAATACAGGGCGTGGCATACAGGCTGGAACCTTGCCATGTGAACTCACGAAACACACAGGGCGTGACATTGGCTGGGGCCTTGCCATTTCAACTCGCGACACACACAGGGCGTGACGTACAGGCTGGCGCCTTGCCATGTGGACGCAAGAAAAACACAGGGCGTGACATACAGGCTGGGGCCTGGCCATGTGACCTCACCAAAACACATGGCGTGATATACATGCTGGGCCTTGACATGGGTCAGCAGCAGATTCGGAAACTGATGGAAAAACCTGATTCGGAAACTAGAAAAAACCTGATTCGGGAAACTAATTGCGGGAAACCAGGATTCGGGAAACCCGCTTATTCAGGAAACCGGAAGATGCGGATTCGGAAACCGGGGATTCGGGAAACTTCAAACCGCGGATTCGGAAACTGAAAGCACGGATTCGGGATACCAGGATTCGGGAAACCAGCTGATTCAGGAAACTTGAGCGTGCGGATCGGAAACCAGCTGATTCAGGAAACTGAAGCGCGCGGATTCGGAAGCCAGCTGTTTCAGGAAACTGGAGCGCACGGACATGAACGTTATCATCCCCCCCACCCCCCCCCACCCTCACCCCAAGGCCCCCCCCTGAATCGCGCGCTTTCAGTTTCCTGAATCGGGCAGTTTCCTGAACAGCGTGCTTTCAGTTTCCTGAACCGCGTGGTTTCCTGAATCGCACGTTTTCAGTTTCCTGACTCGGTTACTTTCCTGAATCGCGTAGTTTCCTGAATCTTGGTTTCCTGAATCACACAGTTTCCTGAATCTTGGTTTCCTGAATCGCAGGGGTGGTTTCCTGAATCCTGGTTTCCTGAATCGCATCCAGTTTCTGAATCGCTCTAGGATCCCTTGCCATGTGAACTCACGAAAAACACAGGGCGTGACATACAGGCCGGGGCAGGCGGGTGACCGTCGTGTCGGGAAAACAAGTCGAAAACGTACAGGACCAAGTCAGAACACCGGGAGGACCGAGTCAGAAAACGGAAAGGCGTGAGTCAGAAAACCAAGCCCGGACGAGTCAGAAAACCAGAGGCTGAGTCAGAAAACCACAATGCACAGAAAGGTTGACCTCTACAACGAAACGCTACGAGATGCATTTTTGAAGCTGTAATAGAAGACTAGACATGTACATTGTTTAGGGATGTGAACGGAGATATTAGCGGTCGAGAACGAGCATGCGGGCGATACACCTCTATCGTTTTCAGATAGGTCCCTATGCACGTCGGACGTCTCGAGGATCTTGACCAAGAACCTTTGTTGCATAGCGTTTCGTGTAAGATGCAGATGTGAACACGTTATTTAAGTAAGCTTTAGTCTTTCTCGAACACATCATGCGAGTGTTGTATTTGCAAATGGGAGCCCCAACCCCACCCCCCGCTTGTTAAGCCTTGCAAGCTTGCTTCAGAGTTTTTTTTCAAACCCATCATGCGAGCATTGTGTTTGCAAATGGGGGCCCCCCCACCCAACTCCCCCGCTTTTTTATTTTTGAGCCCAGCACGCTTGTGTTCCCCCCGCTATTTCACCTAAACCCTAAAAAACACCATAAACCCTAAACCCTCAAAAACCCCTAAACCTAAAACCTAAAAGACCTGAAACCGGCGGAGGGTTGTTGCGGAGGGTTGTTTTTTTTTGAAGGTGAGGCTCGGACTTCTTTTTTTTGATGTGTGGCTCGACTTGGCTTGGCAAATACTGTAAATAGCAGCATTTCTGTGTTTTCAGAAGCTGCAAATACTGTAAATAGCAGCATTTCTGTGCTTTCAGAAGCTGCAAATACTGTAAATAGCAGCATTTCTGCGTTGTCGCAAACTGCAAATACTGTAAATAGCAGCATCTCTGCGTTGTCGGAGGCTTCTAATACTGCAAATAGCAGCAAATCTGCATTTTCCGAGGCTGCAAACACTGTACATAGCCGCATAGCTGCATTTTCCGAAGCTGCAATTACTGTAAATAGCAGCATTTCTGCGATTTTGGAGGCTGCAAATACTGTAAACAGCGGCATTTCTGACTTTGCAGAGGCTGCCAAGTACTGTAAACATACTGTACGTTGCAGCATTTCTGAGTTTCAGGCGCTGCAAATACTGCAAAGAGCGGCATTTCTGAATTTTCAGAAGCTGCAAATGCTGCAAAAGATGCTAGCATGAGACAACACAAACGGAAGGGAATCATATGCTTTGACGCATGCTCGCTCGGCCAAAAAAAAAAGCAGGGGGGTTGGGGGGGGCGCAGCCCCCCCCCCCCCATTTGCAAACAAAATGCTCGAACGATGGGCTTGGAAAGGATTTAGACGGTGCACGCCTCACAAAAGCCGGGGGCTTGAGGAATGCGCGCATAATGGGTTGTAAGGGATTCATATGATGCTTGAGGCAAGCTTTCACGGCTTGAAAAAGAGCTGCAAATACTGCTAAGAGCAGCATTTCTGCGTGAACTGCACTATAAACACTGCAAATGCCAGCAGGAGACAAACAAACGAAAGGGAATCATATGCTTTGACGCAAGCTTGCACGGCCTAAAACAGCGGGCAGGTTGGGGGGGGCACAGCCCCCCCCCACCCCCATTTGCAAACACAATGCTCGAATGATGGGTTTGGACAGGATTCTCCAATGGTGCACGGCTCACAAAAGCGGGGGGGTTTGGGGTTGGCAACCATTTGCAGACAGAATGCTCGCATGATGGTCTGCAAGGGATTCATATGGCGTGTTGAGGCAAGCTTGCACAGCTGAAAAAAGACCATTTGCAAACACAATGCCCGCACGATAGCTTGGAAAGGAATCATATGCTGTGACGCAAGCAGCACGGCCTAACAAGCACGGGATTGGGGCTTTGAAGCGGTTTGGATGGATTCATCTGCTTTGAAACAAGCTTTGCAAAGCCTCAGAGGACCACGGGACCAAGGGGACCACGGGACCAGGGAGACCAGAGGACCTCGGGACCAAGGGGACCAGGACCAAGGGACCAGAGGACCAGAGCGCCACGGGACCACGGGACCAAGGGAACCATGCAGAGGACCACGGGGCCAGGGGACCAGGGGGGAGGGGGCGGGGAGGTACGAGCCACACCTTTTAAAAAAAGGAGGGTCGAGCCACACCTTCTAAAAACAAAAACCCCTAGCCCACCTGAAACCCTAAAACCCCTAAGCCCTACACCCTAAAAGCCGCTAAGCCCGAAAAAACTCTAAACCGCAAAAAACCCCAAAAACCTCCTAACCCCTATATCCTAAACCCTCAAAATACCCTAAGCCCTTAGCCTGAAAACCCCTAAACCCTAACCCCTAAAAAAAACCCAAAACCCTAAAACCGTCTAAAAACCCCGAAGCCCTCAACGTCCCTCAACCCTAAAAACTCCTGACCCTAAGCCGTAAACCCTACAAAACCCCAAACCCTAAACCCTAAACCCTAAAAAGCCCATGGCTTCGTCAGGCCGCAGGGGAGAGCAGCCGGGGTGGAGTTTTCTGGCTGGGGTGCTGTTTTCGACTCAGGTTTGCTGCATGTGTTTTCTACGTTTGGGTCCAGGCTGTTTTCGACTCAGGGGTCTTGTTTGCTTTCGGACATGGTGCGCATTGTACTATCACTCCAGGCTGGGGCCTGGCCATGTGGACTCGCGAGAAACCCTGGGTGTGAGATGCAGGTTGGGGCCTTGCCGTGTGAATTCACGAAAAACACAGGGTGTGAGATGCAGGCTGGGGCCTTACCATGTGGACGCACGCAAAACACAGGGCCTGACATACAGACTGGGGCCTTGCCATGTGGACGCACGCAAAACACGTGACATACAGGCCGGGATGTGAACTCACGAACAACACGCAGCGTGACATACAGGCTGGGGCCATGTGGACGCACGAAAAACACAGGGCGTGACATACAGGCTGGGGCCTTTCAAGAACCCCAATCAGCTCAAGAACCAGTCGACGCAGGCCTTCCTCCATGTCGGGTGCGTCCGCGGGTGCAGCAGGCGTGGCCGTGGCTTCGTGAGGACCTGTTGGATGAATACCGTGCTTGCTGTTGCCTGTTCAATGCCTTTTGTTGACTACACCAGACCAGACCCTGCCAGGCCTTCGGAATCTGTGGAAAGTCTGGAGGTCACCCGTACCTGCCGCTGACCTCACAAGCCACAACATCATCATCATCATCATCATCATCATCATCATCATCATCATCATCATCATCATGATCATCGTCCACTGCACTGAGCCCGAAGTCAACATCAACTCCGCGCGCTCTTCACAGTGACGCACAGCTCGGGACTGCAGTGACTCAATCTTGAACCCACTTCTTGCCAAGAATATAGAATATGAAAGCTTGGGCAGCGCCTACGCAGCAATTGCCAAGGGTTTTTCACGGTTGGGAAATGCAACAGCGTCGGTGACCCTTCCAGCACTTCTGTGACACATCTTCTACCACCATCCTGCTAAGCCAGCCTGCAGCCTTTGCAGCCTTTGGAATGCTTTCTTTCGGCCTCGCGCACTTTGGTCACTGAGTGCTTCACAGTGCTTCACCACACTCACTACACCTGAGGAGGGACGGTCCCGGATGTGCCGAGCTTCAAGAAAAGTTTGAAAGGTTTGTTCTTTAAAGCCTCACCCCAATTCAACAAGCGCAAGTAGACTGCAGGCATAAAGGATCACCGTCAGCGCGTGCCTAGCAAGGGTTGCGCCCTCCTGCACACTGGGCATTGCATGCTGGCACGAAGCGGTGTGGCGAAGCCCTGAAGCCAACTCAAGAGACCCAGTGAACGTATGCAAAATGCGAGGAAGACATCCTCCTGCTCTGCATGGGAACCCGGCGAAAGTTTGCGTCTGCTCCCATCTGCTCCCAGCCCTTCTTCAGGTTTCTGCAAGGCTCCTTCTGCCGCGGCACAGGCGCTTTAGCTTTTGCCTGAGAGTGCTTCACCGGCAGTCGCCCCTTCACATTTCGAAACCCTGCGTAAAAGAATTCGAAGCAAGGGTGTGAGCGGGAGCCATCGAAAAGACGAGGTGGCGACCCGGTTGTCTTCCGGCCTGGGTCACTCACAGCCAATGATTGCAGTGTCCACAACAATTTGTTGATGCGGTTACTAGAGTGACATCCATGCTCAGGGGAGAGCGCGAAGATGCGCAAAGCGTTGGAGCCAGAATCCACACAACAACTTCTCGCTGTCTCTCTGATTGAGGCTGTGACTGATCCGACGGCGGTGCATCAGCACCGGCCTCGCTAGCATGGTCTTTTGGGTGGCTGATAAGCTTCAGGACTGCGGTACCCATGTCAGGATACACGGACTGCATGTCCTACAGACATCACCAAGCACGAGCCTGCGTCAAGAAACTACCCAACCCGTTCGAAGGGCCCCCAAGGTCGCCAGCCCTGAAACTTCAACATGCTGTGCGTACTGCACGCCTTGCTCTTCGCCGGTGGAGACCGCGGCCTGAGCGATTCATCCAAGTGAAAGCGCCTCTCTGGTATGGAGGGGGGGCGGGGCGATGGGACGCCTCAGGGTACTTCGAGGTTTGGTGCATTCGAGATCCATGGCTTTGAGGTTCGTCGCAGTTCAGCGCAAGGAGCCCATTTGGCGTCTCGAAGAAATAGGACCTAAACGAAACTCCATCAACCCAGACCAGTCCTACACTGCCCTACACTCTCTTGACGTTGAAGAACCAAATCCTGTTGCAGATACAACAGGTAATGAAGCAGATGATGTCTATGTCTGTTCTTCGATACGAAGGGGGTTAGACTTGTCCAATCTCAGAGGCTTCGAGAACCTTCAAGATGATCCCGGCCATCTTGACCGGTAATTCGAGGCTCCGAGGCCGCCTCTCAGACAGCCTCAACAAAAAAAAGCGCCTGCAAGTTAAGTTCTTACTTAAGGAGCTTCTTGAAAGGCACCTCCGTTTTGCTTCTGTGGTAGGCCACAGGCCAGTGGAGCTTCTGCTAGGTATTTGCAGCCTTCGCAAAACTGCTTTGAAGCTTCACAGGGAGCGCTTCACATGAGGCAAAAGTGGAGGCAGAACTGGAAGCAAAGCCGGCGGTTCTCATCACCTCTAGGCCGCGACTGCGCACAGGTGAGTCAGCTGCCGCTGTGCAAGGGGGGAAGAACCGGAACTAAAGGTTCCTTCTCTCGCAGAACTCTAATGTCGGTGGGAAGGCCCCCCACAACCCAGAGCTCTGAGGCCAACTAAACCCCAACTAAACCCCATGAGCCCCCACAAGCTGTAAACCCCGTGAACGCCTTGAACCCCTAAACCCTCCTACAATCCTTTAAGCCCCACATTCGACATCCGCTGCAAACTACCGCCTGTAAGGCCGTGCAAGCCCAAAACCCTGGCGCGCACCCGGGGCCCCCACGACTGGGCAGCGGCCTGGCGAAGACAGGGACTGCTTGCAGCTTGGGGTTGTATAACCTGGTTGAGGGGAAACAAAAAAAGTGACCAAGCCCAAGCGCCGGCGCCTTCGACTTGGCAGCAGCATCCGGCCTGAGCACAGGGGTTGTTGCAGCCGTGAGTCCCAAAACCTTTGAAATCCCAAATCGCCGCCCCCCCACCGCCTTCACACTAGGTCACTAGGCAAACAAGACTCTCCAAGAGGTACCCCGCCTTGCACTCGAGGGCACCTGGAGTGGGACCCAAAGCTTCCCTGTCTTTACACGATGTAGCGGGCCACATGAGTGCTTATGCCAGACTACGGCTAGGCTGGGGGCTTGGGCTCGGCTTGGGCTGGGCTTGGGGGTGGCCAGGGGTCTTCTTCAATCCATTCAGGCCCGACACGATCCCAAAAGGCCTTGGGCTTGGCTGGCGAAGCCCTCAGCGCAAGAGCAGTAAGAACAGCACTTCGGGGCTGCTGTTACTCAGGACGTGTGCAGTCGGGACAACTGAGAGGCCAATGCGATGGCAGTTGCTGTAGCTTGATGACATGACAGCTGGCTCCCGTAAGCCATCTACACCTTCGCAGCCTTTGCATCGGGGGCAGCCTTGGGCGCGGAACGCCCGTGCCTTAGGTGGTAAAGACACATGCAGCGCTCTGGTGCGTCAGGCTTTCAGGGGTCCTTCCTGCTTTGTCAACTGTTCGGCGCCGGGCGGGCTGGCCTCGCGTGAGGAGGCCTGGCAAGACCGGGATGACAGAATCAACCTTAAATGAGTCGCACCCCCCCCTCCCCAATCAATGTGTGTGTGTGTGTGTGGCACACCGCTGTACATGCGGGAACGTCAACAAGCACTGCATACGAGAGCGAAAAGAAGCACGAATTTGCGATCTAACAAGTTTTTGCACATGATATTCAGCAGGGGGCAGGAGCACCTTGGTCAGTCTCCTGCCAACGAAGACACTGACCAATGGTGGTGAAATCAACTCCGGACGCGGAGTTGACGTACCTGCAGTGATGGTTATAGACGTCCTGTAACGCAAGCTGTGTATGGTGCATCATTGCTGTTGCTTCAACCAGTCTTTCAAGAACGAGATTTTCATTTTGGGCATTTGGTATTTGAGCATGGGTGAATTCTTGATGCCGTGAGCATGACATACCCCAAACCCCAGAAGACCTCGAGCCCATCAAGCTTGAGTGGAATGTGATGCATGAGCATGTCTTCTGAGCATGTTGTTGGAGCATGTCCAGCGAGCGAGCATGAACATGGACGAGAGCATGGAGAAGGTTCGGAACATGAGTGTTAGAGCATATGAGCATGCACTGTGGAGCATCGGAGCGCGATGAGCAGAGTTGCGGCAGCATGAAGTGTGTAGCATCAGACCATGAATCGTGGAGCATCTGAACGTGCTGAGCAGAGTTGTGTGAGCATGACTTGTGGAGCATCTGAGCATGAATTGTAGAGCTTCTGAGCGTGGTGAGCAAGCTTGGTTGAGCATGAGTGGTGGAGCATCAGAGCATGACTTGCAGAGCATCTGAGCGTGATGAGCAGAATTGGGTGAGCATCAACTGCGGAGCATCAGAGTGTGAATTGTGGAGCATCGGAGCGTGATGAGCATAGTTTGCAGAAGACCCCAAACCCTATATGATATGTCATATAAACCTTCATTCGCGACCCTTCTACCTCATCACTTACGGGCTCATCCACTACCTCTTGCTTGAGCATGTCCTTCTCCAGCAGATCTCCAACTACATGAATATGTGGAGCACTAAAACAAAAAGTGTGTTATACAGCCAGCCCGCCCTCGCCTTGGGCCGCGGGTGTAGGTGGAGCCTCGCTCCTACGCGTTCATGCTGCCTATGTTAGTCTTCACTTCGGTGCGGACGCATAGGATAATCCAAAAATGTGAGCTCACCTGGCGAGTGAGAATGCAAAGTCCTATTGTTTTCGTGCACTAGTAACATGCCGGGCCCACTAATGTGGGTGCCACCGATGCCCAGCAAGACGGCCGGCGTGCCGTATGTTCCTCGATTGTTAGTCCTGACCCAGCATCCGGAGAGGTTAGCAACATTCTTTTTGCTACATCTTTGCCGTAATGGTTTCATAGGTCAGAGTAGTGAGTAGCTCGTACCCCAGCTACATCGGACTCGCACCATGGACGGCTATCAGTGGTACCAACAAAGTTGGCAGCGGCAGCCGCCTCCTCCTCCTCCTCCACCAGACTATCAAGCACATCCTCCTCCTCCTCCCGAGACGCCACACCCGACGGCACATTACCCAGGAGACGATCAAGGATGGCAAGGTCGATGGAATCAACACCCACCAACCGGAGGAGTACACGCTCAATACCAGTGGCCACCCTACCAGGATGCAGCATCCCTACGGCCACAATGGATAGCACCAGCCGCGTTTTTGGATCAAATGCAGTTCGGCCCTCCGACGCATCGTCGTGATGATGCAGCAGGATACGCACCTTCGAGTCAAACGACGGGCCCACATTCACCGACGACCAACCAGAACATCCATCTTCACCACCAACATGCCAGTCCTCAACAACATGGTCGCAGCGATCACCCGGAAGTACGCCCAACACCTCTACATCCACAACCTCACTCCTACCCCCAGGCCGCAAGTCATTGGCAGAATCCGGACCCACCTCCATATCTTCAGCATGGTCAGCAATATCATCAAGGCCAAGATATACGACCAGACCACCATCCTCGAGACCTTGCGCACCACCATCAACAACAAAGCCCTCCTCAGGGTCGACCAGAATGGAATCAAGCCACACCTCGGCCAGCACACCATCCTCAGCAACAAATGAATGTTCCACAACGAGCAGATCATCCCGTGTTCGCGCAAGCAGAGCCCCATCCTCCAGTTCGAGAAGGACCTTACCCCATCTCCCTACTAAATACCCCACCCAGATTTCGGACACACAACAAGATGACCATCAAAGAGGCCAACCTGTTCATCACGGAGAACATCAACAACCTCGTCAAGCCCCAGAACCACCCTCTCAAACCACGTCGATGACGACACCATCCCAGATGACGGAGATGTTCACGTGCATCACAGGCATGATTGAGAAAGTCGTGGCACCGCTACTCCAGTCCCATGCCAGAGTCGCCCCAACGCAACTACAACATCCTGGCGACCAACACAGAGCAGAGTCCTTTACCACACACCACACCCGAAGTCGCAGCCGAACCACCTATGAGCCCAGCCCAGCCCACCCCAGGAGCACCAGATCTACGCGACACACGCACATCTCCCATTCACCCCACAGCCCCGCACCCAACGACCCCCACCAGACAGACAGAACCAGACGGCCACGCAGTCCAAGAAGATCCAGATCCACACGTCGACACTCGGAAGAAGCCGAATCGCGAACATCGAGAAGGCGCTCTTCTCCGGTTCATCATCACCGGACATCCCAACCAACACCATCCCAACGCAGCCCCTCCCCAAGCAGCATCAGGCGCAGAGGCACGACCGTCGTTCTCACCCCCGCGCTCCACCGATCTGCTTCACACACGGCGACCCACAGAGACACACCTGCTTCCTCATCCCGACCACCCCAAGCACCCTCAGAAGCCACTTCACACAATGCAGGACCAGAAACCGAATCAGGCTTCAAACCTGAAGAACGTCGACGCATGAAGATGCTCTACCAAGACGCCTTGGCGGACCCCTACAGGCTCGCGTGTGTGTCCGAGATGTACCACCAACAAGACCCACCACCGCCCATGGACCCTTCCAGCACAGGCGTCCGGTACATGAACGACATCACGCACGACATCGCCAACCTCACCCAAGGACAGCCCCTTTGGCTCTCCAACCCAGCACAGATGGCCATCCGCCAAGTGGCAAGATCCTTCGCTTGCTCCCACTACAAGATCACGCCCTTCCTCGGCCAGTTCAGAACTCACCCCAGCACGGACACGGTGATCCACCCGGAGCTCATCCACGTCGACCCCTACAGCAACAAACAGGACACCACCGACTACCCACTGGTACAGGTCCTCGTCATACCACTACGCACCACCAAGCCTCCACCTCACGCACACGATGCCAACAGTCCATCACCTCCCACGCACAAGGGCGCCTACAAGGCATATTGGTCACACGCTACCGATGAAGCAGGCCTATGGCACATCCTGCGCGAGGGCTTCGTCAGACCCACGAATTGGGAGCCCACCAATTGGGATGACGACAACCTCCCCTACAACAAAGCATACCTACCCCACCGTGGGTTCAACGGATTCCACCAAGACAACGCACCCGACAACCTCCAACTCGGATTTTGCCACACCAACCTCCGCAAAGCCCTCCGCCTTCCAAAAGCCAGAGCAGGTCCTGCCGAACGAGAAATAGCCACAGGTTTCACCATATTTGGACGCGTCACATCGTCCACCTCCCAGCATAGCCACATGCGGCAGAAGGGAGGAGGATGGACGACTCAGAAGGCGCTCATCGAGGCACACTTCAACGACACCAGCCGGGCCAGTCGCAACTTCACTACCGTCTTCTCCCACACCGAGAAGAGCGTCATTGATGCACAGTACGCTGAGATCACCGGGATCACCATCAACGTCTTCCACCCTAGACCCTCACCCACCACACCACCTCCAGTTCCCAACAGATCCCGAGACAATGACCGCGGACAACGACGTTGACAACTACCTGAGCTGGCGAATCCTTCTTCCTCATCGTGAAGAGCAAAGTGACGATTTCTTTTTCACCTTCACGAACCCTCACTCGTGCGGCACCAGCGCGTTAATCACAGCATGTCAAAATGGAAGGCATCAAGCGGAACAGGTCGCAGATTGGATGAAGTGCACCCCCATCCCACCACACATCACTCTGCAGTTCCGAACTGTTTGAAATATCTACACCGAGGTCTATGCATTTAGCCCAATGTGTGCGCCAGTTACGGATTGCAATCGGATGCATGTAGTACAGCGTCACAGATGAATCAGCCTGTCTTTTCTTTTCGGCACATGAAATCACGCGTCAAGTGAATTCGTGCACTGCTGTGATGCGTTAGACCTTGACCTTGAGAGACATGCTCTGGCCGCCTTTAGGTGTCGTTAGTGCTGATTGCATTTCGCATGCAGTTTTGCTCTTGACCATAACGGATCATTAGACGCTCACTTTCATCATGGATCCGGCAGAAGATATGGAGCACGCCCTTCACCGCTGGCTAAGCGGACAAGTCGCCGATCATCAGGTTGTGCAAGTACTAGGACCCCAAATACTACAAAGATGGCAAGCACCCTTGGTGAGTATCGTGGAGGAGGATGACACCCCCATCATCACGGACACGTCGTCGATGCCAGCCAGACCATGGACGACCAACTTGCACCCATCCAAGTACATGGAGATGCTCAGCACCACTGACGAGGGCATCAGCAACACCGTCAACAGATTTCGACAGCAAACCATGAAGGCCAAGATACTGCACCAATCCAGATTGCGAGCGGTGCAGACCGACTACCCCGAGATAATCGGCCAAGGACGACTACAAGACATGGAAATCAAACCCGGTCGAGTTCTTGCTTCCGCGGAAAACCACGGTACCATGCCCCATACCCTTCCCCCTCCAACCTCCTCACAAGACCATGCGAACCAATTCCAGAGATGGTATCCGAATCGACAAACACCACCCCAAGACCACGCCACCGGCATGTCCATGGATTATGCGGGCACGGACCAACCTGTCAGAGACCTACAAA